ATAATGGCTTGTAGCGGAGACGGTGAAAGATGTTGATCATTACACGTTACTCCCAAGATTTTCCTCATTTTCACCCCTAAATATATGAACCTCTATTTAAAAACATTTCTCACACACAGTTTCAAGAGTACACACTATTATTGTTATTATTACTTACTTTAAATATTTCTTTACCCTATCCTATTGTACTATTAGTGTCAAAACAGATAAGATGTTGTAAATTATTATTGTAATTACAAATAAGGGAGAATTGATTCTCTTATCATTTAACTGTCATTCGATGTATGAGTTATAGAAATATGTAAATATAGGTATACATTATACATGCATGGTGAAATGTCTGTATAAATATTGATGATGTTATTGTTCCTTTGCAAAATAAATAAATAGTACTCCTGAGTATTTCTACTGCCTGGCTATTAATAAAAATATTGGGTCTCATGTAAAATAATATATAGGAAATTACAAAATTTTGGAATGTATAACAAACTAGCATTGCCCGCGGCTCCGCCCGCGTTCAGATGACTGAAAACCAAATTCTTAAGTTTTACATATTAGTATACTCTTACATTGCAGTTTTTGTATTTTTTCTCAGAAATGAGATATTTTCCCGCGGTAAAAAGTATCCTATATGTTGACCCGTATGGTGATAGCTTAAGCTATCACCATACCAAATTTCATCAAAATCCCTCCAGTGGTTTTTCTGTGATGCGGTAACAGACAGACAGACATAGACAAACAGACCGATAGACAAAAATTCTAAAAACTATAGATTCGGTCTCTGTATCGATAATAATGTCTATTTCAATAAGAATTTCCAAAAAATATTTAATGTACAGATTCGGTTTAGTTAGAATTTTATTATATGTAAAGATAAGATGGGTTTTATGATGATTTCATAGCTGAAATGTTATTATTTTAGTAAAAGTTCAAAAAGATAAAGATCTTACACCTCAATTTATCTAGAGAAGAGCCTATTTCAACAGGCTTTGTTGGCTTTGAACTTTAAGGAAATCTTATTAGGGACAAAAACGGATCCTATTACCCTGTTTCCGGGACAGTTACTTTCAATGTTTTATTTATACACCTGACTACTCCCATAGGACTATTCAGGCAAATAACTATACAATTTTAACGGTTGGCTTGAGCCGTACAAATTAATTTAAAATCGATCTAACATGGGTAAATTTTGTTATGTCATTGCGCAGTAATTCATCCATTATTTTGTTATAGATGAACGAATTCTATCGGTAATGATAGCTTAAATTGTGATTTGCGGTTGCGGCCTGTATTATCTAACCTAATAGAATTCGAGTATTTCAATTGGCAAATTCGTACATATTTATATTTTAACTTAAATAAAATTGAAGTAGTAGGTACATGTGCAATACTTTCACAAAAATCAAATTCAATTAAAAATATATTCAAACTAGCAGAACCCGCGGCTTCGCTCGCTTAAACTACAAACATTTTTCTAAAACTTTCATCTCCTATTTTACCCCCTTATAAGATGAATTTTGAAAAATGCTAAGACACGTATTAATTTTATTGAAGAGTATATATACTAAGTTTCAAGTAAATCTGATAATCATTTTTTTTTGGCTTGTATTATAACGTGTTTTCCCATGGGAATTAAGTAATCTCCCGCGATAAAAAGTAGCCTATGTCACTCTTCAGCCCTCCAACTATCTTCACACAAAAAATCACGCCAATCCGTTACTCCGTTTCGACGTGAAAGAAGGGCAAACAAACAAACACACTTTCACATTTATAATATTAGTAAGGATTATATTCCGGTTTCAAATTGTTCTGATTCGTTATATTGTTGTAAAGTACGCTGTATGGCGCTTCTGGCATATTACAAATGATATCTGCTTAATGTAGTGTTTAACAGCACATCTTTCCTCCAAAATTAGACACCAGGCTATTTGGCAAGTGTTAATATTTGCCGTTGAGAATTACATGAAATTGGAAACTTGCCCAAGAAATAACGGCATTACAAAATCGTGATAATGAAAAAATCTTATATTTTTCTTTATATATAACAAGTAACAGCTTTTATAAGTTGAAAAATAATATTAGTGAATATATAGCATATTAAATTACACGACAAATTGAAAGCGTAACTGCAACATGTGCCAGATGTTTATTCTGCATAATGTTAACTTGAGGATAAGACTACATACAATATTACGGGCGCCATCGACACGACATACCTACCTGTGTAGTTCGTTGGCAGGATATATACTGTAAAGATTTGTATAAGTTTGCAATAGGAAATAATTTTTTTTCGCCATTTCAATAGTAGGTATCTTTAATTTTGTGACTATCCTATTAAATTATTACACGTCGGTATAATTTTTATTTTCTATAATAAATAAATAATTTTCTATTAAGTATGTATTTAAAAATAAATTGTCATAAATATATTGTCTGTTATATTTCTCTTTAACTTCCTGAAGCTTTATTTTATAGCGAAATAAATAATTTGTTAATTCGGCGTTCTGTTCCACGCCTTAGGACATTAATGCGATGTGTTCCGGTATCAGCCAATAAAACTGTCGCCATTGCGACACGTAGCTGCTAAATGCAAGTTTTTATGTATTTTCGAACATTTTTATGGCTTACCCCAAACTATTCTTAGCACGATATATAGATTTTATGATTACCATTATCAAGCTTGGGGTGTGGTTGTTGTAAAATATTAAACAGTTGTTTGTTTAGCGGTTTCCTGGCGCACTCGACCCGTTGGGTTATTGTGCATTCTCAGTCTATCGTGGCATATCTGGTAAGCATAATGCAGCAGTGCGGAAGAAATAATAAGCGGCAGTATTTTTCGTCCCCTCCGCAAACTCTCGGCGGACTCAAGTGCATAACTTCGCACACCTTTATTTACCGTCACCTCTGCATTTTGTTTTATTTTCTTGCACGTCTCGTCCGTATAATTTCAATGTAATGCCTTTATTTTGCCCTAAAATATATCCACCGCCTCCGCAGAGGGGAAGCTTTACGAAATATTGGTGGCCTTTGTGCGCTCCATTTTATTCATTCTTTATTATATGAACGGTTTTGTACGAATGTAATGAACGCTTTATTCATAGGTGCGATTTCTTCAATGGCGAAGATTTCTCGCGGAGAGTAATACCGTGAACACAAAAGAACTCGGCTATTGAATATTTTATTGACGGTCTTTCAATTTTTTTTTAAATAATCTGCATTAAGCAAAAAAAGAAACGTGCTACTGGTCCTATTTTACATGTTTAAATTTATACTGCTTCTTTTTATACGTTTAAAATTAGTTTGTTTAAAATAAAAAATGTAGGCGCCATCGGAGGTAGTGAGTGAGGGTTATCTCTCGTTATTTGTCATATCAAGTGTTTCGTTTCATTTTACCGCCGTCGCATCAAAGACGCCGCACACAGAAGCCGGCTCCTGAAATTTCCACTTTTGCTTAGGTGGGAATGCAGAACAATTTAACTCCCCGATATCTAATCAAAATCGTTGATACCTCTCGAAACGTATATAAGATAGTAGTCTAGACTACCATTAACATTTCTAAACAGATTTAAGTTCAGATTTCAAAGAAACAATTTATTATAAATTTTGTGTTAACTATCTCCAGACTTGGAACATCAAATAACCGTAAGATTTTATCGTAACTTTCTCAACCTATGATTTTACATTAGAGATTAGTATATGTTTGTAAATGTGTTCCTGATTCGTGCATCTAATTAACGCTTGTTTAAAAAGAGGTTTTACATTTAGTATTACGAGGTGTGCGCGCTCGAGCTTGAAGCCAATTTGTCGACGCGATGTGACGTCCGTATGGATGACCGTTTTGCATACAAACTATCGCATGTGTTATAATGTAACACCTATCACTCGTAAACGCCTAATCGCCCTTATCGTGTTCTGAATAAACAAATAACTATTAACGGCGTTAAAATTATAAATTGGCCATTTCATTTGCATGCGTTGCGGCAGCGTCGGACCCAAATTCTATAAAACTTGTTTAGAGAGGAGATCCATAATTTATGATTATAATGTTAATAATGCTATGACCGCAGGGTCGGAATTGTAAGTCCATGACTAATAACAGCACGTCACAATATTTAGAGTTCTTCTTTTACGTAAATAAAGATACACATAGTAATTTGTTTGTAGGTAATGAACCATAAAAATGACTTGATATTGGTAAAGCTGCTCCAATCAACCAATTTTTGATTCTTGTTATGTTCCAAAATGAGAGGAATAAAACAATGGCTGTCAAAAGCACTTTTAAAAAAAATGTATTACTCGTACTAATTAGTTGTCGAACATATACAAAAATTAGAACTTCATAAGATATATGTATACGTTTAAAAGACAAAAACACTTTTATAAAATTTTAATTTAATGACGTAACTCGATATGATCATAACGAGGCATACTTGCGGTATACCCATATCGACTTCACAGAAATCGTACTGTCATGTACCTATGTTTATATTTAAGAAGAAATGTGTGACGGATACACCAACATAATAATAAAATATTACTTCGTTAAAACCGGTATTAGAAAGAATATTTAATAACAGTAGTCAAGTAATAAATAAACTAAACTGTGTATGTTTTTGCGATAAGTTGGTAGTTGCGGCACCTTTCTACTCTTGAAGTACTTTTCTTCAAACAAGATTTAAAAGAGTTTTTTTTGGTTTCCCATGATTTGTGGACAGGTGGCGTGGAAGTCGGCTTCTTATTCTTTGATGTTGCCGACATAGTACGCGCGTGAATCAAACTTTTTGTCTGATATTTTATGTATTGATTTAATGCCGGTTGTATTTGAATAGGTTAGCAACGCTAAAATATTTGCACGAAGGAAAAGAGACTTATTTATATACCTACATATTTCAACCGACTTCCAAAAAGGAGGAGGTTGTCAATTCGTCGGAATCTTTTTTTTATACACTTTTTTGCTATTAATGTTATGAGATAAAATTAAATTATGTATTCTTAAACAGGACTAACAGCTGAGCTCTTCTACGTGCGCGACGGACAGATAAATTTCTACGCGCTCAATTTTGTTGTGCCTGTGCCGGCAACAATAGGAGAGCTGCACTTTACATGGCAGAGCCTTACAAGAAGACCGGTGAGTATTACAATTATTTATATTATAGCATTGCCCGCGGCTCCGCCCGCGTTCAGGATGACCAAGAACCAAATTCGTAGGTTTTACATATTAGTATACTCTTACATTGCAGTTTTTGTATTTTTTTCTCAGAAATTAGATATTTTCCCGCGGTAAAAAGTATCCTATATGTTGACCCGGATAACCAGCTATCACCATACCAAATGTTATCAAAATCCCTCCAGTAGTTTTTCTGTGATGCGGTAACAGACAGACAGACATAAATTCTAAAAACTATAGATTCGGCCTCTGTATCGATAATAATGTTTATTTCGATAAGATTTTCCAAAAAATATAGGTACAGATTCGGCTTAGTTACAATTTTATTATATGTATAGATAGATGTGTATAGATTTAGTTGACACTTTTATTTATAAGATTAAAACTCAGTTTGGTAATAGAATTGTTTTTTTGTATTGTAATATGACATTATATATGGCTAATGGTTTACCATGAGCTAACGATAGAGGAATTCGTAAGTGGAACTGTTTAATAATAATTCTAAATGGCGCCACATTAAACAATGGATCGGGTGACGGTTTAGGTGATGGAGAGCTTCCGTGCAAATTCATTGCGTTGATATAGTCACAACGTATTAAATCTAATAGACTAACCAAAATTAATATACCTACAGATATTTCTTTTTTATCCTGCGGCTTTGCTTTTTTAGTAGGCTGAATACTTATGGATAGCTAGCTTAGTTAACAGTTTTTCATGAAAATTAGTAAAATAATTCTAAATTCGGTTAAGACTTCCTGATATTACATAAACCTACCTATACATATAACTTGGGCTTAGTTTGTAGTGATCCTAGTTGGTTTGCCAGCGGTCGCGGATTCGAGTCCCGCTGGCGGCATTTATTTGTGTGATAAGCACGAATGTTTGTACTCCAGTCATAGGTGTTTATATTTATAAAGTTGTATATGTGTAGTGTATCAACTATCTGGTAGGTATCCATAACACAAGCCTCGTAGATTACTATTTAACTAGATGGTGCTGTGTGTTAATGCCCTAACATATTTATAATTTTATTTATATTTATAAGCTTCGATTTTTATTTTTGTAACATAAGAAAAATATTAGATATTTTTCAGTCAAAATTACAACTATACTTATTATCAATTCTACAAAGTCCAAATGCAGTAACTTAAATGTAATTAAGTTACCAAAAGAAGTTTGTTTTGTCGGTCCTGAGTCTTCGTATTTATTCGCTTACCTTAGATGTGCCTATTCTTATGTAAATCAGAGCCTCTCTTGAATTTAGATAGCTCGTAAATAACTTCGATAAGACTATCGTGTTTTTCGATATTACGCTAGTAATATTATAATAATTGTTGATTTTTTGTATGTATGTATATATTTCGGTAGAAGTTTTCTTTTGTTTTTAGGATTATAAAAACATATACTAAACTTTTTGATAAATAAAATACTATAGAGTTTATATTAAACAATATTGATAATAGAATAGGATACTAGTCTAGATAGTGGTAGATAGTGGTCATTCTTTTAGAGAAGTTAAATCCTGTAAACGGACATTTTCAAATGGCGTCCAATTAAATGTTATAGTACCCGGAAAAAATGAATATTTAAATTAAACAATTTATTATAAAGTTTGAATACATTTAAATTTTCAGAGTAGAGTTGTATACGAATTGTTATTTACTTATTCCTCATGTTAAAGTCATACGCTTGTTATGCAAATGTTGGGTAAAGGGATCTTAAAGCAGAAGGCCGTTCATTTGATTTGTATTGATATCCAAATATTATGTGCATTTATTTACTTTGTCTCATACAAAATGAAATAAAAATTCAAGGTTGTAAGAAGTTAAAACGCCGGTAATGGATGTAAGATGATGCCGGTGCCCAGTCTGTATATCAATCAATGTCTGCAAAAAGGGCAAATATATGTATGTATGTATGTATACATTACATGGCACGTTATATAGAACTTCTCGTATGTCTAGGAGCGACGGCTTTTAAAAATTTCCTTTTTCATATTAATATAAAAAATATTTTTATTTAGTCTTTCTTGATTATATTATTAAATATTTCAAGCAATTTCCAGACGTCGAATAATTTATTATTAATAATCGATTAATTTCATCTCAAGACTATCATGTCATATTGTAAGAAAATTAGTTATTCATACTCAATAAATTAATTTTTAATAAGATCATCTATACAAAATTAAGATATCGATTGGTTAGTATGAAGTAAGTTATTCTTATACCTTTAACTGGCGTTATCCATACTAATATTATAAACGTGAAAGTCTGTTTATCCTTCTTTAACGTCAAAACAGAGTGATATGTGTTTTAGTATTTTTTGAAATTCATCATATAAGGGGGTAAAATAGAGGATAAAAGTTTGTATGAAACCTACCTTTTTAGAGATACTTTTGAAGTTTTAGCGCGAACAAAGCCGCGGATTCTGCTATTATTTATATAAAATAAATGTTTTGTTCTTAACTTAATGTTTAAAAAAATATTAACCCTATTTTGTGAAGCTTGTTTTCTGTTACTGAGAAAAGCTTATCTATATGTATTAGTAACATTTATAGGACAGTTGTAATGAAGCAGATGCTTTGAATTTGTTTAACAGATGATATTTTTAAATAATATGTATAAATATACGCGTTTGTTTGTTTTGCATGTACATTGGATGTGTAGTAATAAAACATCTGTCTCTATATAGGCCGTAATTGAAAGCTTAAAAAATGTTTACAATGAAATACGTTTCAGATTGAACAGGCGTGCTTGTCAGTAAAACTCGTATTTGTTGAAGATATCGTTCTTTAAATGGTCAACAATACGTAAATTGACCTGAATAAAAAGCAGACATTATGCTCATAAAGAAAAGCTAAAATTGGTATAGCAGTGTTCATTTGTTCCTATCTGTTAGATTATCATCGTATTTGAGTTGTGATTGTTGATACCTCTTAATTTAAAAATTGCGTGTACGCAAGTACAATCTACGATATTTTTTGTTGTGTTTTTTTTTGTTTTACAGACTCTTATACGTAATAACTATAATAAAATGTAAATAAAGATAGTATTTGCTTATTAAATCAAGGTACTAAAACATTTTTGCCTTCCTGATACAATCATATAACGATCATGATAATTGTAGTCGGTTAGTTCTTTGTTCTATGTCGGCGCCTTTGACCGTTCGGCAAATATTTGGAAAACCGTTACCAGAGGTAATGAACGATCGCGCTATTGTCTGTGCCGACTCGCGAGTGGAAATATTTAATTAGTGGCCACGGTGTCGCACCTACGCTTACGAGGCTTCTCATGCCTAATGAAGGTAAAGGGCCCGCGGCTAAATTGTTTCTTGTTTGTTTTATCATTCATACACCGCGATGATTAGCTTGATTGTGAAGTGTTAACATTATATTATACAGCTCGTTATCCAGATAAATTACTGTATATCTCTAGAATACATATTATGTAATGTTGCATAAACCATATTATATTAATTGGTTCTACAAACTTAAGTATAATTGAAAGAGAAGGCATAAAATAAATCTTGTGATTTCTTGATTTTGATCTTTAATATAATCTTCGTTTAGTAAATTTTGAGGTCGTATAAATCTAAAGTCGATAAAAGACTGAGGTTGCTTATACCGCATAAGAGTCAGACTTGATCTCGCTGTAGGTCACAGACATTTGATCCGCTTGACATAGCTGTGGGTCGCTTCTCGTTTAGGTTAGCCCGCAGGCCGCAGGCAACCGTCAATCGTAGTGATACAGTTTAAATCGTGATGTGGTCGAGCCAGTACGTATGCATGATTGTACAAACAATTTTTTTGGCTCTGATATTAGTTGGATTTTGATGTGCATATTTTTATAAGTATTAAAACTAAAATGATCAAAGTGAGCCCCTTTACTTCTTTAAGCTATAATGATTTTACCTATTACTGTCAAACTTCACGATCCACACCCTCTTGTAACAATCGTTTATACTTTAAAGATAAACTAACATCATAAATAAAAACATATTTTTTGTTACAGTTACCATATACGTTACGCGTGGAAGTAGAACCGGACCAGCAAGCTTTACATACACCGACTCTCAACATCTCTAGCGAAGGATTCGTTCCTACGGAGCCACAGACATGGCGAGTTGATTTGCCATGTACGCGCACGGTGGCCGCCGAAGTCGACGTCACTATATCTCTTAATGTATCTACTGGCTCATCTTCAACTGCTTTGCATTTCCGTCGTCGAAAAATATGCCTTAAGGAAGCACCAAGACCAGCAGTAAGAGTGGATAGTGTGCCACATGCACCGACATCGGCAGACATCTTTTATGCCGGGGCTGGATGCGCAGGCGGCGCACTCCTAATAGCTGCGGTTGCTGCGATTGGATGCAGGGCGAGAGCAAGGAAACTTCGTAGAGCAAGAAGCGATGAACAAGATGCTCATGCATTCCTTCCTGACTCCTCTTGCAAGTCTGCCGCTAGCTACACCAGTTATAGGCGACCCACATCTCTACCGGCTGCAGCGGCTGAGGAACGAGCTAGAGATTTACAGCAACGAATCGCAGAGTTGACGATACAACGATGTAGAGTGAGGCTGCGCTCGGTTGCCATGGAAGGGACCTTTGGCAGAGTTTATAGAGGAACATATGCAGATGAAGAGGCGAGAGAGCAAGAAGTTTTAGTAAAAACCGTTGCTGAACACGCTTCCCAAGTTCAGGTAAGGTATTGACTATTACGAAATATACGGTTATTTAAAAGAATTCGTTTTTAAATGTTTAACATTTTATTTCATTTTTAGGTATCACTGCTTCTTCAAGAAGGTTGTATGCTCTATGGATTACAGCATGAGCGTGTTTTATCTGTTCTTGGCGTAAGCATCGAAGATCAAACGGCACCATTCCTGCTTTACCCTTGGAGCGGTGGTTGGAGGAATTTAAAACAATTTCTCTTAGCCTGCCGAGGAGTTAATTTAGGTGTTTCATCGAATGGACCTCCTCCACCGCCTCTGACCACCCAACACGTTGTAAGAATGGCACTACATGCCTTAGACGGCCTGCAATATTTACACTCACAGCACGTACTGCACAAGGATATCGCAGCTAGAAATTGCATGTAAGTACCGAGTATTACCGAGTAATGTATATTGTAAGAGATTTTACTGTAGAATATACTTTTTTTGTGTCGCTGGGGAAACCCATCATGGGGACCCTGCCCGCCACTGTAAAATATACCTACTAAAGTTCTATAATAACTATAAATTTACTTATTCGTCAGAAACAAATTATTTCTTTTTTTACTCAGTTACAATTTCTAATTAAAACTTTTTTCACAGAGTGGATGAAAATCTTCGTGTAATGATCGCAGATAACGCGTTGTCGCGAGATCTATTCCCTGGAGATTACCACTGTTTAGGAGATAACGAAAACAGACCAATTAAATGGCTGGCTTTAGAAGCGTTATCGAAGAAACAATTCAGCCCATCGGCAGATGTATGGGCTTTAGGGGTGTTGTTATGGGAGTTGACTACTTTGGCACATCAACCGTATGCCGAAGTAGATCCTTTTGAAGTCGCCGCATATTTACGGGACGGATATCGGTTGCAACAACCAGCGAATTGTCCGGACGAATTGTAAGTATTTGACAATATAATAATGGTAAATGAATAATTTAAAACAACATTATGTATAAAGTTTGGTAATTATGTACGTATAATATGTAAATAATTATATGTATCAGCGCAAGAAAGTCCTTAAAGCCTGTCCCTAACTGGTTAAAAATAAATTTCTCAAATAATATGAAATTGACTTTATAATTCCGTTAACGGTATTTTTATAACATAGCACTTTAAATGAATTATACATATTTAATATACATAATACATATGTATGTTCTTTTATAATAAATTAATATATTTATATTATAATATATGCACGTTTTACGCCTGATATATTCAAAAATATGTACATAACAATCTAAACGATAAAATGATATTTACTATGACATCATCTTATAGTGTAATTTCTTTTCCCCTAGGTTCGCAGTAATGGCCTATTGTTGGGCGATGTCGCCAGACGACCGGCCCACTCTGCCGCAACTACAAATATTCCTTCGAGATTTTCATACACAATTAACGAGATTCGTCTAAACTAAGTATTTACCAATCGGATAAATTAAACTCAATATTTTATAGGACTTTAAAATTGAGTAGAATATCCAAAGAATTTTCTCGATCTCTCGAGAAAGAAAACGACAAATTTGTATAGTGATTAGTGAATCTTCGACCGTAAAAAGCTAGCTCTCTTTCGTTTGGTTTAAAAACATTCCTAAATAAAAAAAGACAATCCAAAGACGACAATAATATTATAGTGGAATAAAGTGAAATAGTGGACGTACGAGGCCTTAAGCAGTTACCCCTTTCATATTATGGTGACGAGTATTAACGAGGCGATATAAGAGACTGATTTTGATAGTGTTTATTGAATTGTAAATTTTAGATTTACGCCGTCACATATTTTTCTTGTTATTTTGTATTGGTCGCATAGCTTTCAAGATTGTACATGTTGCTGAGGTAAATACATATAGGTACCTATCTAATCTTTGTTTATGAACTTTTCTTACATAAAATACTAAGAAAAATCCCAATAATAAATTATTTAAATATACGTATTTTATCCCTTATTCGAAGTTATGCTAAATATTTTGTTTTTTTTTCTTATAGCCGTTTCATGGAAATATTGAATGTTTACAGCTTAAATCATACATTATTTAAAAAAGTAAGATATGTGACGGTTAATGTAATTTTTATTTGAAACCTCAATACTGCCATATTAGAGTAAAAGATTATATGTAAATATTGATAGAATAAACTTTATACGTATATTGATGTGCCTCGGATTTTATGAAAGATTTAGATGTTTATAAATGTTCCGTTGAAAACAATTTTAGTGGTAGGAAAAATAATGCTAAATTTTTCCAATAAAATGCGCCTTCATTATAAGTAATTTGTAATAATGCAAATTACCCAAGTGAGAGTCGAACTCGCGTTTAAAGGGTTCCGTACATAATTATGTGTTATATATTATTATTACTAATAAATATTTTATATCGATTAGAGTTTGACAACCCTAGCGTAAGAACGACTCGCAGTTGGCCAGTTCATAAATTTTATGTTGTGTTCAAAACTCAAAAGTATTTTTTTAACTTTAATCAAATTAAATGTATTTGCATTATAATCTCACCGAATTTCAACTTCATATGGCTGCTTTTGACTACAAAAAGAAAAGCATGTTATATGTATAATATAGGAAGGAGCGAAAAAAAAATTTTTTTTCTTAATTTGGGTGTAGAATTTGTAGCTTATTAAAAAAAGAAAATGTAAAGAAAAAAAATATTCAACATTTTTAAGGTGGCACACTGATTTTCAAAATAAATAATTTAAATTTTTGATTTGAATGCGATGTTTTTTCGACTGATCATATTTGAAAACATTCAAGATCTGACGAATATAGTAATTTTCTACCCAACTTTCACTGAATTATTGCATTATTGCATTTTAAAAAAGTTGGATATATCACATGTTACTTTTATTGTATTACAGTGAAAGTTGAGCTTTGTCAATTCTTGAATGTTTTCAAAGATGATCAGTCAAAAAAAAATTATTCACACCAAAAATTTAAATTAGTTATTTATTTTAACAATCAGTGGACCACCTCAAACTGTAGAGTAAAAATTTTTTTTCCAAAAATTTTGTTTGTTTTTTTATAAGCTAACTACAAATTCTAAGCTAAGAAAAAAATTGACATTCCAACCTAATGTATAGAAAACCGAAAAAAAACTCCCAACTCCAAAAAACGTTTCTTTATAACTTAGTATTTAATAAAATACAAAGAACCACAGTAATATAACAAGTACATAATTACATTAAACTTTAAACTGATCAAAAATGGATCCAGCAAAATAATATTTATGTCTTCTACACACAACATTATATCGACATTCTAACAAGTTGCGAAATAAAAGACGAAAGCACTTATAGTGATGGCGCCATGTGTTTTAGTTTTAACCCGTTCTCTATCACGATAATGACGTTCTTATTAATTCGCATTATGAATTTAAAAATGCTTTTTTGTTTATTAGTCAAAGTGAACTGTTTTGATTTTTTTCATAATATATTAATTGATTTGGTTAGCAAATAAGTGCCAAATTTAGACATTTATTATATTTAAGTGCCAATAAATAATAAAATAGTCTATTGGATATTGGCTAGAACTTCTTGAAAAATTGATTACTGATTGACATGTAATAAATCTGTTTAGAATTGAAATATATGTATTTATGTTCTAATTTTTTTTGTATATGTTATACATTTTGGTTTATATAATTTTATTGTATCAGATACAACGAGAGATATAGCTCTGTATCTACAAGAAATAATACTCACAGTAGATACATATGATATTACCTTTATAATAAATATATTATATATATGTATATACAAAAAAAACCTTTCACTTATCGTACAGCTTATTTAAATTCTGAGATCATTTAACCATGAATCGTGACCTCTGCCTTATAAGGAGCGCGAACTAAAGGGAGATCCACGTTGTTCCCGTTAAACTGAACAATGTTAGTAAATTGTCATCTACGTCTTATAACAAAAATATCTTGTTTTGTCAGTGACATCCCTATTAAGTAAGAGGTCGTGAATTCGATTCTTGCACTAGGAAATTATAATTATTGGTGCTCATTTGCAATATAAGCGAGAACCGATTTTTTATGCTATGTTACGGAATTATAATACAAAAGGTTGTAAATTGAAATACTGTGTGTATAATTTCTTGTGTATTACAGCTAAGACTAATTAAACTATTATTTTATTACATAATAGACATTAAATTTTTAAACAAAAAATTATAAATATGAAAGTATTGAATGTATAGCGGTAGATGTCACGAAACTTACAAGTGGCATAAACATTGTACTTTATAGTCTGTAAATTATTAGAGGCAGCTTATTATATACTTGTAAATTTGTAAATAATATACAAAAGATATGTCAATATACGAGTGAAAATGTTGTAATTGTTTTATTTAACATTTTTTCCGTTTTAAATTCTTTTAAATTGTTATAATTTTATAGCTTTTTATAGATTATAAAGGAGATCGACAGAATTTGTATAGGACTTCCGATTTGATATAAAATGTTTTTGATAGTTGGCTTTGGAATATGAGACAGAAATCAGTTTATTGTAGTAATGAAATCGTATTTTGCTATCGAATTTATAATAAAAAACTTAAAACAAAAAAATAAAAACCGACTTCCAGGCACTAAAAATAAAAATAACTAAACGGGGGTTTTCATTTAGAATAGATATCAGATATTTTCGAAGTCGATGCCAGCCAATGCAAAGCAAATCTAATATATTTCGATACGTATAAATATATCACAAGTTCATGTATAATATTTTAACTATAAATTATTAGAGTTCATACCTTGTCATATTTACCTATTAGATATTCATATCTTAAAGCATTGGCAACTCTCATATCTTTTTGGAAGTCGTTTAAAAAGTATAATGTAAAAGGATCTTTTTACTTTAAATACCTAATTTTCAAAACATGATTTTGTGCGCAAGAAAAATTACCCATGTCAAGGAAGTTTATTGCAAATATTATATTGAATATTCCTATTAATTTGATTTAAAATTTAGTAAAGATGGATAATATTAACTTTCAGGGCAACTTTGAATAAAACAAAAAACAATCATCTTAAAAGTAAATTAAATGTGTAAAACAAAAAAAAAAACAAAATCTGTGAATGACACTAGTATATTAATAAAAAAAAAACAAAAATACCTTTCTTTGACGGTACCTAACTCGTTAAAATTAGGAAATCAAGCATGTTAAATAATATTATTTATTACTTAAGTTTTTTTTACACAAATTGGGCAGCGCACGTCGCTAAAGCTACTCAAGAGGTAGTTTTTTGGATTTCAATTAAAGTTATTATGATTTCTGAGAGTAAACACATTTTTATCGAAATAAGATAAAGCATTCGGCAGTAAACTACCTTTCCATTGGTGAAAGATTTTTTTGGATCGGATAAGTAGTTTTGGATATAGCCCAAGATCCAAAGAGAAATACATACATGTTTCATGTTTTGTCTCCGAATGCAAAATACTGTTCTTTTCATTTTTATCAACTTATTCCCATCTCTTTTGTTCTTTTTTATGTTTAATTTTTTGTATTATTTTTATAATTAATATTTTTTATATAAACCTTTACCCTCCCCAGAAGTTCTTTGTTATCCGTAGAGAAATTATATTATCTTAATAACGAACTGATTAACGAACAGTAATTAGGCTAAGTAACATTGATCTTTTGATAAAATTCCGCATCGATAATGATTATATTATGTAAGGTCACTGATATTATTTATGATATGAAACAGAGATCATAGTGTTATTCCTATCATTATTGCCAACTTATTGGGAGTACAATAGAGATAAAAACTTTTTAACAAAAAAATAAAAACCGACTTCAAACAAAAGCACTAAAAAGTAAAAAATAACTAATTGGTAGTTTTCATTTACTATACATACCTAATCAAATATTTTCGAAGTCGGTGTGCTTTGCTTTGTATGGGCTGGCACCGATTTCGAAAATATTTGATTAGGTATGTATGTATTTAATAGGTAGGCTTTAATTACTTAGCCAAAGCACACCGACTTCGAAAATATTTCATTAGGTATGTATAGTAAATGAAAACTACCAATTAGTTATTTTTTACTTTTTAGTGCTTTTGTTTGAAGTCGGTTTTTATTTTTTTGTTAAAAAGTTTTTATTTTTCCCTTTTTAGTGTAGACAGTAGTAGCAAAGTAAGAATTCTAACGTGTTAGGCTTGTCGAATCAAACAAAATAAGCCCAAACTCAAAGTATCTACTATTAGCTGTTGAAGAGTTCCACCTATCCACCTTCTGGCCTTACCATCAGATCAGGTCAACAATACCGAACCAATGTACTATCAACGGAAATAGAAACACTTGCAAAGTTTCAAGTCATTATGACAATTAGAAGTAGGTTAAATCCATCATTAGCTATTTTTCCACCCTTAGGGGTGGTATTTTTTTTTTGAAATTTAAAT